TGTGACACTCTGGGAAATAGGTCAGTAAAGAAAACCATCTCCTATTCCTTCTGATTTCATTATTTGCCCATTAGCTGTGGTGATTTTTTTCTGTTTCCCTCTGGTCAAGGCAAATAAAGAAATGTCTGTCATTCGTCATGTGACTCGCAGCTCCTGAATCTTTGCCTGCAAAGATGAAGTGCAACTTTTATATTGAGAAAAATATTCATTATTTAAAGAAAAATAGTTTTCTCCCATCACACTTTTGGTCCTTTGTAGTTTAGTTTGGTTTTGCATTCTAGCTTTCGAGATTCTGCAATCTGCTTTTAAATGGCCTTGTTTCTTGCATAAAATACATTTGTGTGTTTCTTGTTGAATGTTACTGTTTTTATTCCTATCTTTTAAGCAGACTCTGCGTCAGATGCACTGTCACTATTAATGCTTTCTGTTTTACACAAGCTTGCCCTTAGTATATTTTAATGTCAGTTCATCATCTGAACGTGCTGTGACAAGTGTTTCATAACTTTCTGGTAAACCACTAAGTAATAGTGCTGCTACATGAAGATCTTTTTATTTCTTCTCCTGTACCTCTCAGGCGTTCAACCATTTCCAAGGTGTGTAATCCTGTATATCCTGGCCTTACATCAGCTTGGTTTGGTATAGCTTTCTAATCAAATACAGTTTATTGCTGGGATTAGCTCTTTCATGCACCTTTTGTAATCCTTCCCACATTTCTTTAGCAGTTTCTGAGCTTTCTCTGTCCACTCATCTGAGGAGTGTTCTGGCCTGACTTCATTTATACATTTTCACATACTTTCTCTTATTAGCAGAATGAAAGGTTTGCAAATGAAAGCTTTGTTATAGCTGTGTTACTGGCCATTTTATTTTATTCTGTTTAAGTCTTCTTTCTGTTGCTGTAATTTGCACTTGTTTGCTGTAGCAGGCTATGAATGGGAAACTGGGCCCATAACCCACTCTAGAAAATTTGTATACAGCCCTACAGAACAGACAGTGCACAGTCCATGTGTTTTTTACTGCTTGCTTCACTGCAAGAAGGAAATAGGAAACTTTATTTCAAAGAAGACACAGAGTATACCATAGATGCAGCTAAGCTACAAACTTATATACACTGGAATGCTCAATAGGAAAATTGATTTAAAGCAAAGGTACTTGGGAATACCTGGGGTCTCATAGCACTGATGTTTTACAACCTTTTGGGTTCACTTCATCTTTGATTGAAAAAGACACGGTCATTTTGCCTGCTCAAAGTAACAGTGACTATTAATATTCATCTGCCTCCCAGCAAGGTATCCATCAGAATCACTCCATCAGAATCCTGGCTCTCTTGCTTTAATAGAATAGGGCTTACAGGTATAGGGATCTGCTGCTCTCCATTGTCTGTATTAGTAAAATACCCGTGCTCTTAATATTTCACTGTTAATTATGTATGCACTTCCTGTCTCTGGGAGGCTGGATTAAAAACTCCAGAGGAGGGAAGTAGCTATAAAGGTTTTTTAGAGACCACATGTCCACATGCAGGAGCTGCTGCTGTTTTTGTATCCAGGCCAGAAGCAGAGACCATTAGATAATTGTTCCTGTGTTCTGGCTGTTTAACTGTAGCTGCCCAAAACCTATTAATCTGAATCCTAGTGACAGATGGGTCTGTGTCCTATTGTTATTATCTCACATGCACAGTGCCAGATAGCTAGGTCTGTGCTACTCTAGGTGTGTAGCAGTCACCATCCAGTATATTTGTAGGTGAACTTATTTATTGCAATTCAGTTTATATATAGCCCCTGTTACTTTAGTTAGCCCTGTCCTTTCCAGTTTGGGATTCTATAGTTAGTTTTAGTTCAGAGCTCAAAAACAAGCATAGGCTAGAGCAAGGTTAGGCATCTCATGGCCCAATAGGTAGTAAGAGGTCCAGTTGCATGGCAGATTAGAAGTAACTGGGGACTAGGAAGCAGACTAGATAAGCTGACCCAGGGGTGGACTGACAACTCATGGGGCCCTGGGGCAATAGGGGATCATGGGGCCCCTGTGTCCTCGCCTACACTCAAACTGCACCCAAAAAAGCCTATGAAAGGTACCAGGGGCATTTCATGGGGCCCCCTACTGACCCCGGGCCCTTGGGCAGTGCCCGAGTTCCCAAATGGTCAGTTCACCCCTGAGCTGACCCTAGGTTCCAGTATTACACCATAGTTTCTGCTGGTGAAAAGCTACATTCCAGACCAGTTGAACAATGGTTGTAGCTCTACCCATTATCACTGACTCTGTCTTCAGGCCGTTGATAGCAAGATGAACACTTCATCGTGATCATCCTCCTGGACCCCTACAATTATACTTGGCTGCAACATTCATCTGGAGGTACTTCTATCATTAACTATATATACCCAGGTGTACAGTCAGGCCCATAAATATTGGGACATTGACACAATTCTAACATTTTTGGCTCTATACACCACCACAATGGATTTGAAATGAAACAAACAAGATGTGCTTTAACTGCAGACTGTCAGCTTTAATTTGAGGGTATTTACATCCAAATCAGGTGAACTGTGTAGGAACTACAACAGTTTGCATATGTGCCTCCCACTTGTTAAGGGACCAAAAGTAATGGGACAGAATAATCATAAATCAAACTTTCACTTTTTAATACTTGGTTGCAAATCCTTTGCAGTCAATTACAGCCTGAAGTATGGAACGCATAGACATCACCAGACGCTGGGTTTCATCCCTGGTGATGCTCTGCCAGGCCTCTACTGCAACTGTCTTCAGTTCCTGCTTGTTCTTGGGGTATTTTCCCTTCAGTTTTGTCTTCAGCAAGTGAAATGCATGCTCAATCGGATTCAGGTCAGGTGATTGACTTGGCCATTGCATAACATTCCACTTCTTTCCTTAAAAACTCTTTGGTTGCTTTTGCAGTATGCTTTGGGTCATTGTCCATCTGCACTGTGAAGCGGTGTCCAATGAGTTCTGAAGCATTTGGCTGAATTTGAGCAGATAATATTGCCCGAAACACTTCAGAATTCATCCTGCTGCTTTTGTCAGCAGTCACATCATCAATAAATACAAGAGAACCAGTTCCATTGGCAGCCATACATGCCCACGCCATGACACTACCACCACCATGCTTCACTGATGAGGTGGTATGCTTAGGATCATGAGCAGTTCCTTTCCTTCTCCATACTCTCTCTTCCCATCACTCTGGTACAAGTTGATCTTGGTCTCATCTGTCCATAGGATGTTGTTCCAGAACTGTGAAGGCTTTTTTAGATGTCGTTTGGCAAACTCTAATCTGGCCTTCCTGTTTTTGAGGCTCACCAATGGTTTACATCTTGTGGTGAACCCTCTGTATTCACTCTGGTGAAGTCTTCTCTTGATTGGTGACTTTGACACACATACACCTACCTCCTGGAGAGTGTTCTTGATCTGTCCAACTGTTGTGAAGGGTGTTTTCTTCACCAGGGAAATAATTCTTCGGTCATCCACCACAGTTGTTTTCCCTGGTCTTTCGGGTTTTTTGGTGTTGCTGAGCTCACTGGTGCATTCCTTCTTTTTAAGAATGTTCCAAACAGTTGTTTTGGCCACGCCTAATGTTTTTGCTATCTCTCTGATGGGTTTGTTTTGTTTTTTTCAGCCTGATGATGGCTTCCTTCACTGATAGTGACAGCTCTTTGTGTCAGGGCTCCCAGGTGTGACCAGAGGTGTGTGGCTGACGCAGGGAAACGCAGACCTCAGATATGTTATAAACAATATAATTTATTAACACTAACAATACAAACATAAACGCAGTGCAATACTAAAACATAATACAGTGCAAACAAACCAAACCAACCACCCACAGATAACAGTACATACAAGCAAGCGTCGTCAGGCAGGCCGGGTCAATATCAATAGGGCAGGTAGGTACAGGGGGAGCAAGCGGAGATTGGTCGGGGTCACAGGGCCAGGTTCAGCAGGTAGCAAGCAGCGTAGTACAGAGGGGTCAGGCAGAGGGATGGTCAGGGTCACAAGCCAGGGATCAGAACAGGTAGCAAGCAGCGTGGTACAGAGGGTCAGGCAGAGGGATGGTCAGGAGCGAGCCGGGATCAGAGCAGGAGAAGTCAGCAGCGGTCAGATCAGGCAGGGTCAGCAAAGGAACAGAAACAGCATGCAGGACAGAAACAGGATACAGGGCCCAGGACAAACACAACACCAAGGCAGAGTCTGTTGGTCTGGCCATCCCTTAAATACCCCAGCATAATCAGTTTCCAGGTGTTAGCTGGCTGCAAAGTTGAGTCTCTGATTGCTGGGAGCATCCGCTGGCCAGCCCTGGTACTGCAGATCAAAAGGCAGGTGAGTCCCACCATTGCTGGCCAGTCCATTCCTGACAGTACCCCCCCCCCTCAAGGAGCGGCCTCAGGACGCTCCAAACAGTCCTAGCTGGGAAAAATGTTCCACCGCCCGGGTCTGGTAACTGGCGGGATATCAAAGACTGGCACACCGGGCAGGACTCCGGGCAGCGGTACACCGGGCAGAGGCACATCGGGCTGGACTCCGGGCAGAGGCACACCGGGCAGAGGCACACCGGGCAGAGGCACATCGGGCTGGACTCCGGGCAGAGGCACACCGGGCTGGACTCCGGGCAGAGGCACACCGGGCAGAGGCACATCGGGTTGGACTCCGGGCAGAGGCACATCGGGCTGGACTCCGGGCAGAGGCACATCGGGCTGGACTCCGGGCAGAGGCACATCGGGCTGGACTCCGGGCAGAGGCACATCGGGCTGGACTCCGGGCAGAGGCACATCGGGCTGGACTCCGGGCAGAGGCACATCGGGCTGGACTCCGGGCAGAGGCACACCGGGCAGAGGCACACCGGGCAGAGGCACATCGGGCTGGACTCCGGGCAGAGGCACATCGGGCTGGACTCCGGGCAGAGGCACATCGGGCTGGACTCCGGGCAGAGGCACACTGGGCAGAGGCACATCGGGCTGGACTCCGGGCAGAGGCACATCGGGCAGGACTCCGGGCAGAGGCACATCGGGCAGGACTCCGGCAGAGGCACATCGGGCTACCAGGCGAAGCAGCAGGCAGCGGGCCACCAGGCGGAGAGCGCCAGGCACCGGGCCCCCGGGCGGGGCGGCAGGCACCGGGCCCCCGGGCGGGGCGACAGGCACCGACAGGCCACCGGGCCCCGGGCGGGGCGACAGGCCTCGGGCCCCCGGGCGGGGCGACAGGCCTCGGGCCCCCAGGCGGAGCGGCGGGCGCCAGACCCCCAGGCGGAACTACAGGTCTCGGGCCCTCAGGCGGAGCGGCGGGCGCCGGACCCCCAGATGGAGCGACAGGTCTCGGGCCCTCAGGCGGAGCGGCGGGCGCCGGACCCCCAGATGGAGCGACAGGTCTCGGGCCCTCAGGCGGAGCGGCGGGCGTCGGACCCCCAGATGGAGCGACAGGTCTCGGGCCCTCAGGCGGAGCAACAGGTCTCAGGCCCCCAGACGAAGCGGCGGGCACCGAGTCACCAGGCACGACAGTGGGCACCGAGTCGTCTGGCAAGACTGCGGGCACCGAGTCAACTGGCGGAACAGCGGGCATCGAGTCAACTGGCGGAAACTGCGGGCACCGAGTCGTCTGGCAAGACTGCGGGCACCGAGTCGTCTGGCAAGACTGCGGGCACCGAGTCGTCTGGCAAGACTGCGGGCATCGAGTCAACTGGCGGAACAGCGGGCACCGAGTCGTCTGGCAAGACTGCGGGCACCGAGTCGTCTGGCAAGACTGCGCGGGCACCGAGTCGTCTGGCAAGACTGCGGGCACCGAGTCAACTGGCGGAACAGCGGGCATCGAGTCAACTGGCGGAACAGCGGGCATCGAGTCAACTGGCGGAACAGCGGGCAGTCCCGAGTCGTCTGGCAAGACTGCGGGCACCGAGTCGTCTGGCAAGACTGCGGGCACCGAGTCGTCTGGCAAGACTGCGGGCACCGAGTCGTCTGGCGGAACAGCGGGCATCGAGTCAACTGGCGGGACTGCGGGCACCGAGTCGTCTGGCAAGACTGCGGGCACCGAGTCGTCGTCTGGCAAGACTGCGGGCACCGAGTCGTCTCGCAAGACTGCGGGCATCGAGTCAACTGGCGGAACAGCGGGCACCGAGTCGTCTGGCAAGACTGCGGGCACCGAGTCGTCTGGAAAGACTGCGGGCACCGAGTCGTCTGGCAAGACTGCGGGCACCCGAGTCGTCTGGCAAGACTGCGGGCACCGAGTCGTCTGGCAAGACTGCGGGCATCGAGTCAACTGGCGGAACAGCGGGCATCGAGTCGTCTGGCAAGACTGCGGGCACCGAGTCGTCTGGCAAGACTGCGGGCACCGAGTCGTCTGGCAAGACTGCGGGCACCGAGTCGTCTGGCAAGACTGCGGGCACCGAGTCGTCTGGCGGAACAGCGGGCATCGAGTCAACTGGCGGGACTGCGGGCACCGAGTCGTCTGGCAAGACTGCGGGCACCGAGTCGTCTGGCAAGACTGCGGGCACCGAGTCGTCTCGCAAGACTGCGGGCATCGAGTCAACTGGCGGAACAGCGGGCACCGAGTCGTCTGGCAAGACTGCGGGGGTCAACTGGCAAGACAGCGGGCACCGAGTCGTCTGGAACTGGCACCGAGACTGGCGGAACAGACTGCGGGCACCGAGTCAACTGGCGGAACAGCGGGCATCGAGTCAACTGGCGGAACAGCGGGCATCGAGTCAACTGGCGGAACAGCGGGCACCGAGTCGTCTGGCAAGACTGCGGGCACCGAGTCGTCTGGCAAGACTGCGGCACCGAGTCGACTGGCAAGACTGCGGGCACCGAGTCAACTGGCGGAACAGCGGGCACCGAGTCGTCTGGCAGAACAGCGGGCACAGAGTCGTCTGGCAAGACAGTGGGCTCCGAGTCAACAGGCACGACAGTGGGCACCGGGTCATCAGGTATCGGATTGTCTGGCTCGACAGCGGGCATCGGGTCACCAGGTATGACAGCGGGCACTGGGTCACCAGGCATCAGGTCATTTGGCTTGCCAGCGGGCACCGCGTCATCTGGCAAGGCAGTGGGCACCGGGTCACCAGGTATGACAGCGGGCTCTGAGTCAATTGGCACGACAGCGGGCACTGGATCAGGTACCGGATCGTCTGCATCAACAGCGGGCATCGAGTCAACTGGCCTAATAGGATCGTCGGGCTGGATCAGTTCATCATGCTGAGTAGCGGCATCAGGCTGAATGCAGGCATCAGGCTGAGCAGAGGCTTCAGGCTGAGTAGAGGCTTCAGGCTGAGTAGAGGCTTCAGGCTGAGGCTGAAGAGAGGCATCAGGCTGAAGAGAGGCATCAGGCTGAAGAGAGGCATCCGGCTGAAGAGAGGCATCCGGCTGAAGAGAGGCATCCGGCTGAAGAGAGGCTTCAGGCTGAGTAGAGGCTTCAGGCTGAGTAGAGGCTTCAGGCTGAGTAGAGGCTTCAGGCTGAGTCACGGAAGGCAGGTTCACCGGTTTGGATACTGGCAGGATGGTATTGGTTGGAAAGAATTTTCGCTTTTTTCTGGTTTTAACTACTGGAGCACTGCAAGTAAACGCAGGTCTGCAAACGAATGGAGCAGCTGGAGACAGAGAAAAACTGGAGGATGGAACAGGAGAGGGAGCAGTTGCTACAGAGGGCTTTTTTTTACAGGGTTAAAGGCAGGATAGGTGCAGCGAGTGGGAACAGGGTACTGACATGCGGTAGATAGCCAAGTATACTGGGCTGTAACTGGAGGAGCTGGTGGGAATACAGGAGTAGAGTTAGAAGCAGGACTGGGTTTTTGTAAGCTGACTGAGGCTGGGTGTGCAACAAGTCTGTCCATGTCTGCAGTATGGGTTGAACAAAGCTGAGCTTACACAAAGCCTGTCTGGTCAATGACTGCACTGCGTTTATACAATCTCTTAGTATCTGTGGTGAACATGTGGAATAACGCTCCAGAAAGTAACCCACATCATCCTCTAATAACCACACCAGGGACTCTACCTGGTCTGCACTAAATGGTGGCAAAAATTCATCCCTGCATTCGGGGGAACCAGATGAAACCAACTCAGCACAAACCTCAATCAAAGGCTGCACCTCAGAGAACTCTGTGCCCTGATCTACTAGAACATGAGCGAGCCGTATACATTCTAGTAGTTGATCCCTGGGATACTCCTTCAGAGTTTGATAAGCATACTCCCTGTCATCAAACACTAGCAGATATAAATACACAACCTCATCCAGATCCATCCTTCCCAGCAACAAGCCAAGATGGCTTCCCTGTGCAGCCACTTCTGGTCAGGATTGGCCTTGGTGTAATGTCAGGGCTCCCAGGTGTGACCAGAGGTGTGTGGCTGACGCAGGGAAACGCAGACCTCAGATATGTTATAAACAATATAATTTATTAACACTAACAATACAAACATAAACGCAGTGCAATACTAAAACATAATACAGTGCAAACAAACCAAACCAACCACCCACAGATAACAGTACATACAAGCAAGCGTCGTCAGGCAGGCCGGGTCAATATCAATAGGGCAGGTAGGTACAGGGGGAGCAAGCGGAGATTGGTCGGGGTCACAGGCCAGGTTCAGCAGGTAGCAAGCAGCGTAGTACAGAGGGTCAGGCAGAGGGATGGTCAGGGTCACAAGCCAGGGATCAGAACAGGTAGCAAGCAGCGTGGTACAGAGGGTCAGGCAGAGGGATGGTCAGGAGCGAGCCGGGATCAGAGCAGGAGAAGTCAGCAGCGGTTCAGATCAGGCAGGGTCAGCAAAGGAACAGAAACAGCATGCAGGACAGAAACAGGATACAGGGCCCAGGGCAAACACAACACCAAGGCAGAGTCTGTGGGTCTGGCCATCCCTTAAATACCCCAGCATAATCAGTTCCAGGTGTTTAGCTGGCTGCAAAGTTGAGTCTCTGATTGCTGGGAGCATCCGCTGGCCAGCCCTGGTACTGCAGATCAAAAGGCAGGTGAGTCCCACCATTGCTGGCCAGTCCATTCCTGACACTTTGGATCTCATCTTGAGAGTTGACAGCAACAGATTCCAAATGCAAATAGCACACTTGAAATGAACTCTGGACCTTTTATCTGCTCATTGTAATGGGATAATGAGGGAATAACACACACCTGGCCATGGAACAGCTGAGAAGCCAATTGTCCCATTACTTTTGGTCCCTTAACAAGTGGGAGGCACATATGCAAACTGTTGTAATTCCTACACCGTTCACCTGATTTGGATGTAAATACCCTCAAATTAAAGCTGACAGTCTGCAGTTAAAGCACATCTTGTTCGTTTCATTTCAAATCCATTGTGGTGGTGTATAGAGCCAAAAATGTTAGAATTGTAGCGATGTCCCAATATTTATGGACCTGACTGTATATGCACAATTCCACCAGGACTCCTGTTGGGCTTTGTTGAAACAACCTGTTTTTACATTGGATGTATGTACTATTAATAACCTTTCATTATATATAGTTTATATTCTTCCCATGCTGTTGTGAATCTATATATACTATATATCTTATACTTATATATGCTGGCTGCAGTAGTTCCTTTAATCCCAATTACTGGTAAATTTCCTAGACAGGGAATACCTCTGTTCACAGAGCCCTGTCCTTGGTGAAGGCACTGCCAAATTTATTATCAAACCCATTATTCCACTTAGGGAAGGTACTGATTCTCTTATTTACCTACAGGTTTAATACAATATCCTGTTTGGGGTGGCCATTTTCTCATAAACCTCACAAAAAGAAGCCTACACAGGTATAGAGGAACATGTGACAGTGCTTGGGTTTAAGTGGCCAATTGCCAGACCAGAGGACCCTCACTTGGGTCAGGCCAGTGATATATCCAATGATGCCACAAACAGTTGAATTTCAGATCGTAAACAGTTGAATGAGAGTAGGCAGGTTTATTTTTGTAATAGACAGTGTTAACCTGACTTGGGCAGAATCTGAGACCCTATCTACAGTACTGACTTGCGATCTAAGGGATTCCAATGAGATTTGAAGACCAAGTCCTTGCCCAGTTTTTTACCTTGGAAATACTTTAGGCCAGGGGTGTCCCAACCTTTTGACTTTCCCGACCATATTGGAAGAAGAGGAATTGTCTTGGGCCACGCATAAAATACACTGACAATAAGGATAGCTCATGAGAATAAACACTCAAGCAGATCACAAGCTAACGATCACCGATATAAGTATTGTATCTATCTGAGTAATAAAACTTAATTTTTTGTAATGTTAACTATTCTAAAAGTAAAAGTGGGCAACATAAAACTATTGAGATATTTGACACTGTTTTTGATAAACTAACACATCAATTTTTGGCTCACTGGATGTAGTATCAAATCTCAATAAATGCTCAAGGTGTTCATCAGATATTTTGGTTCTAATTTTGCCCTTCATGTGCTTCATCCTTGATAATAGTTGCTAACAAATATAGGTGCTGCGGAAAACTGATGACATGATTAAGACGTTATTGTAAAGAATGGGATATTTTTCTTTGGGAAGATAAAACTTATAAACGTCCAGCAAAGAGACACTGTCAAATTTTTCTTTGGCCACAGGTGTTTGCTAAGTGTAAATGCATTTTTACAAAAAAGATCCAAAATAATCAGCATTTTAAAGTAAGTTTACAAATTTTTGTTGGGCTGCATTCATAGCCAACTTGGGGGGACAGTCTGCTTTAGGGCAAAACAAATTGACTTTAAAGTAGAACTAAAAGGTAAATCTTTGGTATTTTTGCTATCTATATCTCATTAGGGAGATTTAAGTTTACTTCCTGTCCTCCAACCAAAACAAGAAGTGAGAGGAAAATCACTTCAATGTAAGGAATCCCTGTCTGACGCTAGGGTCACTAGAAGTAGTATCCCAGTTAAAAGATTTCCCCTCTATTCCTGTTCTGGTGGCAACCTAAAATTTTGGATTTTATCCTACTTTGGCTCTCAGTAATACTAGTACAAATAGATAGGGTGGATCTCCCTAATGGGGTAGGGGGGTACAGACAGCATCACAAAAGATCCAAAATAATCAGCATTTTGAAGTAAATTTACAAATTTTTTGTTGGGCTGCATTCATAGCCAACTTGGGGGGATAGTCTGCTTTAGGGCAAAACAAATTGATTTTAAAGTAGAACTAAAGGCAAATCTTTTTTTTTGTGATCTATATCTCATTAGGGAGATTTAAGTTTACTTCCTGTCCTCAAACCAAAACAGGAAGTCAGAGGAAAATCCCTTCAATGTAAGGAAATCCTTAGCTGTCACTAGGGTCACCAGAAGTAGTATCCCAGTTAAAAGATTTCCCCTCTATTCCTATTCTGGTGGCAACCTAAAATTTTGGATTTTATCCTACTTTGGCTCTCGGTAATACCAGTAAACAGGACAAATGGAGAGGGTGGATATCCCTAATGGGGTAGGGGGGTAAAGATAGCATCAAAAACCTGGCAGGGGTTCTTATTCCTCTCCACCCTATAGAAAAAAAGGTTTTGCCTTTTAGTTATACTTTAAAGCGGAATTAAACTATCTAATCTTAAAAATGAGGAAGAAAGATGCATATACTTACCTGTTCTCAGGCTGATCCAGTCCGGTCATGTGATTGTCTCCCATCTGTCAGCTAGCACCAACTTCAGAAGAGAGCAGGGAGCACCGAAAATGGATGGCACATAGTAACCCTATGGGTGACGTCACCACTCAGGCATTCCAGCCGTTTGCTGAGTGTTCGCTCCTCTCCCATGTAGCTGGCTGCTGACTGACACAGAGGAGATCATGTGAGAATAGCTAAGTATTTGCATCCTTCTTCTACAAGGTAGTTAGTATAGGTGTTAGAGGGAGGGGTGGGAGCAGTTTTAAAATTAGATAGTTTTGTCCCGGAAATCCACTGTAAGTAAAACTGAATTTATGAAAAATAATCAGAATAAATCTCTGAAAAACAGTAAACTCAGTTGTTTTAGGGTTTGTACTGTAATAATAATAATAATAATATATGCATTTGTACGTGATAATGGGTTGCTTACAATGTTTAAGCAGTGCCGCTGCCTTACCTGTATATGCCTTGTGGAAAACAGCAATTTTCCATTTCAATTATTGGCTGTTATTATACATATATTATTATTTTTTTAATTTACTTAAGATAACAAAGATATTATCCCTGGGGGCAGTGCTGCGTCCATAAGACACATAGGGGTTTATTTACTAAAGCTGGAGAGTCCAAAATCAGACTCCCTTCTGCATAGAAACCAATCAGCTTCCAGGTTTCATTGCCAAAGCTTCATTGAACAAGCTGAGGTTAGAAGCTGATTGGTTTCTATGCAGAAGGGAGTCTGATTTTGGACTCTCCAGCTTTAGTAAATAAACCCCATAGAGTCAATGGGCTCCCGCTGCTCTCAGCCAATGAGGACAGCAGAGGCTGTTGAGAATGTCGCTGGCTCAGAGGAGGTTCAGGTATGGATTGGGGGTGCTGGGGGCCTGCTGCACACAGAAGGTTTTTTACCTTCATGCA